TTCTAGTTCAGTTCTAGTTCAGTTCTAGTTCAGTTCTAGTTCAGTTTACAGTTCTAGTCATTCTAGTTCAGTTCTAGTTCAGTTCTAGTTCAGTTCTAGTTCAGTTCTAGTTCAGTTCTAGTTCAGTTCTAGTTCAGTTCTAGTTCAGTTCTAGTTCAGTTCTAGTATCTAGTCAGTTCTAGTTCATTCTAGTTCAGTTCTAGTTCAGTTCTAGTTCGTTCTAGTAGTTCTAGTTCAGTTCTAGTTCAGTTCTAGTTCAGTTCTAGTTCAGTTCTAGTTCAGTTCTAGTTCAGTTCTAGTTCAGTTCTAGTTCTAGTTCAGTTCTAGTTCAGTTCTAGTTCAGTTCTAGTTCAGTTCTAGTTCAGTTCTAGTTCAGTTCTAGTTCAGTTCTAGTTCAGTTCTAGTTCAGTTCTAGTTCAGTTCTAGTTCAATTCTAGTTCAGTTCTAGTTCAGTTTTGGTACTTTTGTCAGAACAACATTTTTAACAAAATTCTTATAAATTCTAAAAGTCTAATACGATAAACACTTTTTTAATCAATAGCTGTATTTTTATATAATCTTTTCACTTTTAAAGTTTAAAATTTTTTGCGTACCTTTTTTCTCCCCTTTTGCTAGTCAAAACCATCTCTTATACATTTACTAGTTAGTTAACGTTTAACACATGCTTTTTTCTGGTCTTGTGCTTGGCTGTGTATTTTATTTTAAAACAGACATTGCTTAAATAAATATTTGTTTTTCTGCAGTGAATACATGTATTGGTACTTTTTCTATATATAAACTTTTTTCGTTATTTATTTAACACTTATTTTATGTTAAGACACTTAAATTGTGTGGTCACACAAATTCCTTTATTAATTGTCAAGATATGTATTTATTTAAAAATAATAAAATACAAGTTTAAGAATAATTTGTCAGTTTACGAAAATTTAATAATAAATAAGTCTGCAAAAGTTGTTTAAATTTTGGCTCCAAAAACAAAATTCCTTGAAATTTTATTTTAATTTTACAAGAGGGTTGCTTATCACCAGTTTTTTTTGGCAAAATTTTTTTCGCTTGTCCCTTGTCTCGTTATTGTTAAAATTAAGTACTTTATGACACATTAAATATTATCCACTTAACTTATATAAAAATACAAAAAAATAAAACAAAGTTATGAATAGTTGTCTGCTACAGTCAGGCCTTTTATATTCCCTTAGGAAACACCCCATCTCTAGAACATACAACCCAGTTATAATGTTTGCACAAAAAAATCACGCGATTTTTTTATATTTTGGGGTTTCAGGGTCCTTGTAAAGATTTTTTCCGTTATACATATATTCAAGCTTTTTTTCTCTTTCAGATTTTTTTTTTGGTGGGTTATAAACTGTTAACATAATTATGAAAAATTAACAGCTTTACATTGTGTTGAGCGGCAAATCTAGGAAATAAAAACTATATATATATGAAATAAATTTCAACACTAACCAGAACATAATTATCGTAATTTTTCATAAATTTTTTTTCTTTTTGTTTTCGTTTTTGCTTTATGTTTTATACTATTTAAAATAAAGATTTTTTTTGTGAATAAAATTTATGACTTTAGCATGTAAGAGAAATATTGTAAAAAAACATATATATATTTAAATAATTATTGTAATTACAAAGTTTTTTTAAGGGATAATTTTAAGTAGAGGAAATGGTCTTATGTAAAGCTTAAATAGATTCAAGAGTTAGATTTTCAATCAATACATCAGGCATCATCAGAGAACTCAAGTTTAGTTATAATTCAGTTCTAGTTTAGTTCTAGATCAGTCCTAGTTCAGTTCTATTTCAGTTCTAGTTCAGTTCTAGTTCAGTTCTAGTTCAGTTCTAGTTCGGTTCTAGTTTAGTTCTAGTTCAGTTCTAGTTCAGTTCTAGTTCAGTTCTAGTTTAGTTCTAGTTCAATTCTAGTTCAGTTCTAGTTCAGTTCTAGTTCAGTTCTAGTTCAGTTCTAGTTCAGTTCTAGTTCAGTTCTAGTTCAGTTCTAGTTCAGTTCTAGTTCAGTTCTAGTTCAGTTCCAGTTCAGTTCTAGTTCAGTTCTAGCTCAGTTCTAGTTTAGTTCTAGTTCAGTTCTAGTTCAGTTCTAGTTCAGTTCTAGTTCAGTTCTAGTTCAGTTCTAGTTCAGTTCTAGTTCAGTTCTAGTTCAGTTCTAGTTCAGTTCTAGTTCAGTTCTAGTTCAGTTCTAGTTCAGTTCTAGTTCAGTTCTAGTTCAGTTCTAGTTCAGTTCTAGTTCAGTTCTAGTTCAGTTCTAGTTCAGTTCTAGTTCAGTTCTAGTTCAGTTCTAGTTCAGTTCTAGTTCAGTTCTAGTTCAGTTCTAGTTCAGTTCTAGTTCAGTTCTAGTTCAGTTCTAGTTCAGTTCTAGTTCAGTTCTAGTTCAGTTCTAGTTCAGTTCTAGTTCAGTTCTAGTTCAGTTCTAGTTCAGTTCTAGTTCAGTTCTAGTTCAGTTCTAGTTCAGTTCTAGTTCAGTTCTAGTTCAGTTCTAGTTCAGTTCTAGTTCAGTTCTAGTTCAGTTCTAGTTCAGTTCTAGTTCAGTTCTAGTTCAGTTCTAGTTCAGTTCTAGTTCAGTTCTAGTTCAGTTCTAGTTCAGTTCTAGTTCAGTTCTAGTTCAGTTCTAGTTCAGTTCTAGTTCAGTTCTAGTTCAGTTCTAGTTCAGTTCTAGTTCAGTTCTAGTTCAGTTCTAGTTCAGTTCTAGTTCAGTTCTAGTTCAGTTCTAGTTCAGTTCTAGTTCAGATCTAGTTCAGTTCTAGTTCAGTTCTAGTTCAGTTCTAGTTCAGTTCTAGTTCAGTTCTAGTTCAGTTCTAGTTCAGTTCTAGTTCAGTTCTAGTTCAGTTCTAGTTCAGTTCTAGTTCAGTTCTAGTTCAGTTCTAGTTCAGTTCTAGTTCAGTTCTAGTTCACCTAACAGTCTGTCTCCTACAAAATCAACAATATTATCCTTTTTAACTAAACATTCAATCTAAATAAAACAAAAGCAAAGAAATCCCTTACCCAAACCAAACCAACAAATCCAGCAGACACTTTAAGGTTAAAAGAGTCATTTAAACAAATATCAACACCTCAATATCACAAACAAACAACGACAGCTTTGAATAACAAGGATAAAGAAACCTTTAATCCATACTCGATGGTATGAGTATTTGCGAGGCAATTGTGTCGAGTAAGTACAAGTAACACATCCTTAGGCCACTTAATGTTTACTCTAGTATAATATTTGTTAAACTAGCGTGCTACTCTAGCTGTTATTTTTCGTGTTTTATAGTAGCCAAAAGGAGCGCTGCTACTGCTGCTGTTGAATGCATATTCAGTGATGTGGAAAATAATATAAAAGCTTAAAGGAATGTGTCTATATAGAGTCTATACTTTTATTAGGTTGTTGTTTTTGTTGTCCTTGTTAGTTGTTTGCTTTAGAAAGGATAATCAGAAAGGAAACAATTCACATATATCAAATAAGGATAAGCGCAATGCAGTAAAAACAACAAACCTCCTACTAATATGAAAAGAAAGTAGAATGTTGTTGTTTAAGTTTGCTAAAGAAAATTAAGATTTATATTAAAGGTTTTAATAAGGGAAAAATTAAATGGAAGTGTTTTAGCAGGAGGTATGTTTTAGTTGAGATTAATAAGCAAAAGCTTTCAAAAGCTTTATATAACGAGGCTTTAAAAGGACATAAGCTTTAGTGAATATCAAAGCCTTGTTTGGTTTTAGTTAACTATGCCATAGAAAGAAAAAGCGTTTGTTTTGAAAGTTAAAAAAGTTATTAAAGTTCAGTAAAGCTTACAAATCTAAAATTTTAAAAATTTTTTTGAGTTTCAGTTGTTATATAATGAGGCTTTAAAAGGACATAAGCTTTAGTGAATATCAAAGCCTTGTTTGGTTTTAGTTAACTATGCCATAGAAAGAAAAAGCTTTTGTTTTGAAACTTAAGAAAAGTCCTTAAAGTTCAGTAAAGCTTACAAATCTAAAATTTTAAACATTTTTTTTGAGTTGCAGTTGTTGTAGATTGTAAACAGAAAATTATACTATTCTTTCTAGTAACTAATAGCTTCGGAAAACAATAAAGCTTTGTGGGAGTTTAAGAAAAAGAGAAAACTTTAAAGAACAAAAAGCTTTGTGGGAGTTTAAACAAAACTTTGAAATATTATGAAGTTCTGTTTATTGTACTACCATGTCTCATCTAATTTAGAATCTGAGTGTCAAAAGCTTTCCTCACTCTCAAATGTTACAGTAAACAAAGAGCTTTTTCCCGACAGTATGAGATTTTTAAGACTTTAATGAAGCAACGTTAACGTTTTAATTAAAATTCTAAAAAAATTTTAATTCTTAAATACTTTTTGCTTCAATTATAAAATTGTCTATAGAAAAACTCCAACATTCATTATTGCTCTCCCAAAAACAAGGACATAAACTTTGAGGCTCATAAAATTTAGTATTAGAGAGTTTTTTGTTTATTTTATTTCTGTTTCGTGAAACAAAACTGAAACCATATAAAATCCTATCAAGAGAATCAACGCAGCGTAAACAATCTGGAAAAAAAACTACCAGCAGTTGTTCTTATTGCGACACTAAACCAAGTTAGAAACAGCCAACCAATGTGTCAAGAGGGTCAACAAAAAAACAAAAAATAATGATTTTTGTTCTTTTATTTAAGGCTATTGAGGATGCCAAAAACTAAATAATATTGTTTTTTTAGAATTTTTTCTAAAACGGAAACAAATGTCTTTCTATGTGTGATAAAGTTTATGATGGTGTATAGCAGCAGTCACAATAAACATAAATCTTTGACATAAAGGAAATGCTTGAATGATTTGTTTTTTTTAAGGGGAATGAAATAAATAAAAAGGTTTTTTGGTAAATTTTGGCATAGCATAGATTTGTATAAAAAAAGTTTAAATAAACTAATATTGAAGTTAGGAAATTAAGAGAATCAATAAGTTTAAGCTTTATTTAAAAAATCCCTAAATTTTTTTTCTTTCCTCTCTTTGCAGTTAAAAAAAAACCTCTCTTCAAAAAAAAAAAACACATCAAAAAACCATCAGCCAGCACTTAGTTCAGAATCCTCTCTATTGGAAAAGAAAAGCTTTTTTAAGAAAAAAAACTTTTTAAGCTCTTAACACCTAACACCCCCCCCCTACAACAACGTTTTGTCTAAAAACTGTGACCTAATGACTATGGCCGAAGGTACTGACCCCATGGGGCATCATGCGACATCTCATCATCATCACCACCAACAGCATCAGCAACATCTGCAGCAGCAACAAAATCATTATCAACAAGCCCAACATTTGGCCCATCAACAGCAGCAACAGCAGTCACACCATTATCCACCCTACACACACCTGCCCTATGGTTTGCCCCATAATTTGGCCTTGACTCTGCAGCAACAAGCGGCGGCAGCAGCAGCTGTTGCAGCCTCAGCGGCCGTCCAAGCCAATGAGCATAATAACAATAATTTAACAGCGGAACATGTTAGAGAGAACAACAACAACAACAACAATAATACAACAAATATGCCCTGGAAGCAGAGGAAACGTAAACGTCTATCGGCGGTTTTAGATAAACTACACAACAACAGCGCAAATCATACCATGGAGGTGGATACCGAAGATCAGGATTCTGAGAAATCCAGTCTGGCAAAAGAGGCTAATAATAATAACAATGAAAGTAAGTCCTCCTCTTCTACTAAACGCTCTAGTTATAGTGGTGATGAAGAGGCTGATTCGGTGGAGGAAATGTCTATTGGAGATAATGATGAAAGTCCTAGAATAAGCCTAAGTCCTGTTAATCATAATAACAACAACAATAATAATAATAACAACAACAATATAATGGATACTACATTACCTGCGGCGAAATTCATTAAAACTGAAGAACCTCAAAATCCCCTGACAGTAGACATCAAGACTGAGTCACATATGTCAAGTCCCTATGATCGTTATTTTCCCATACCCTCTCCTTTGTTTGGTTACTATTTGCACACCAAATATCTCAATGAAGTATTTCGACGGAGACAAGATCTCTATACCTCGCCAATGCAACATACACCCTCCTCTATAGCCTCATCACAAATGGATGAAACGTCACCGAATGCCAAGGAAATGAAAGAGTTAAAAATGGAAAGATCTCATCAGGGTGAATTTACGGCAACAGCTGCCAGCATGTCACCGCCTCATAGTGTGGCCATGGCTTTACCCTCACCGCCACGCAGTGAGACCTCTATAAGTGAGACTATGTCGGCTAATACCTCGGATCCCAATATAATGCCACCACCTCAGGATAGACCTTTGGATTTATCGGTGCGTAGTGGTGGTAATACACCCACAGGAGAGTTGATGACACAAACTGCCGGTGGAGGAGGAGCTGCTGGTGGTAGCTGTAATCCTGCTAAGAAGTATAAGTCTACATCACCCTTGCCAGCCACCACCATGATGTTGCCGCCCAGCCAACAACCGATCTCAGCTTCGTTGTCGCCCAGCAGTTGTAACAATAGTTCGTCTACTGGTGTGTCTACTACTACCACCACCATATCTTCAGCTCCTGTTTCTCCCTATGGCGGGCAAATGTCTCATGCCGTGGCGGCAGCTCATGCTCATGCTGCTGCTGCAGCAGCGGCTGCCATGATTAAAATGGAAATGCCCATGCATCCTTTGCATCCTCATGCTCCCACTACCACAGTAGGAGTGCCGGTCATTAAGGGAGATGTGGCCTCACCCACCACTAAGGAATCTGTAGCCTGGCGTTATAATTTAGATGTTTCGCCGGTGGTAGAGGAAATGCCTCCCGGTTCAGATGTGGCCTATGTTTGCCCCGTTTGTGGTCAAATGTTTTCTTTGCACGATCGTTTGGCCAAACACATGGCTTCCCGGCACAAATCACGCAATCCCTCTAACGATATAGCCAAAGCTTATTCATGTGAAGTGTGCAATCGTTCGTTTGCTCGTTCGGATATGCTAACACGTCACATGCGTCTGCATACTGGAGTTAAACCCTACACCTGCAAAGTTTGCGGTCAAGTATTTTCACGTTCTGATCATTTATCCACCCATCAACGTACTCACACCGGAGAGAAACCCTACAAATGTCCCCAGTGTCCCTATGCAGCCTGTAGGCGTGACATGATCACCCGTCACATGCGCACCCATACACGCTACGAGTCTCAACAGCAAAGACAACAACAACAACAAGGAGCAGCAGGCGGACATCAAGAGAATAAACCTACTCTACCCATATTGGCCGATATGAAAATGAATATACCCATGCTGTTGAAATCGGAGGATTATACTCGTAATTCTCCCTTGAATCATACAATTGGTGCTTCAATGCCGATCGTAGTGAAAACAGAGAGTGCCTAGTTAAGCGCTCACAGCTTATGGTATGTTAACTCTCACAGCTTTCCGTTTAAAGAAAGCTTTTACTCTTTGAAATGATATTAAATTAGAAAACCTAAAAACTGAGATTAATTTAGAAACTCTCTTTAATAGAAAAGCAGCCTAAAACTTGCCACTTTAGTTAAATTTTAAAACTTTATAAAACAAAAGTTTATGACAAAAGATTTAAAAAAAGACATTATTTTAAACACAAAAAGGAGAAGAGTAGCTTTTTAAGTTTTATATAGTTTATAAGTTTTTTTTTTATATAAATATTAATTACAAAACTAATTTAATTTAACACAACAAATTTAGCAAGACAAATTAATTGATAATCTCTCTGCCAAGACTGAGTCTAAGTTTAAAAAAATTACTAACCCTTTAAATGCAAACAAACAAACAAACAAACAAACCCACAAAACTAAAACAGTTTAGCAAAAGCTTTTAACAGAAAGCTTTTACTTATTTTAAACACAAAAAAAGTAGTAAAATTGTTGTTAAAGCTTTTTGTTTTATAAGTATTTTGCTCATAAATTAAACAATTTACTTTTTTGCATAGTATTAATTTGTTTTTATATAAACATAAATAAAAACTACTAAAGCATTTGTTAGTTAATAGTTGTATTATTTTTTAAGTTAATTATACTATTTTTTTTTTAATTATTATTACCATTAATTGTTAATTTTATTATAACTTTATATTTTTTTAATTATTTAAAACAAAAACTAAAGCAAAACAAACAAACCAATCAACAAATCATATTTTTAAAAATTTTATATTAATTTTAATAATTTATTTATTTTTTTTATATAAAATAATTATAATTAAACCAAGAATTCTCCCTAGGGCTCAAAATTGTTATAAAACTTTTCAGCAAATTTAAAAAATTTTCTTTTTTTTTTCAAAAAAAAAATTTCCTTGTTTTTTAAAAATTTCTAAAATTTTTTTGTTTTTTCATAATTATTATTTTTTTTAATTGTTTTTTTTAGTTAAATTTTTTATTTCATTAAATGAATTAAATTTTTTTGTTTTTTTTTTTTCTTAATTTTCTGTTGTAACTTTTTTGCAAATTTTTTTAAAAAATTTAAAAATTGTATTTTATTTGTACCCATTCCATGCTAAAAAATAAATTGTTAATTTTGTATTTTTTTTCTAAATAATTCTCTCATTATGTAGTTTTAGTTTAATTGTTTCAATTAACAATTGTTACTGTTACACTCTGCTAAAAGTTAAATCTTAAACCCTAAACCTGTTATATTCCTATTATTAAATTTTTTTAATTATTAATAATAATTACTTCTATTACATTTTTTTTTAAATTTGCTTTTATTGTTCTTAATTTAAGCTGTTATTTATTCTCTTTCCCTGTTTATTACTCTTTATTATCACTCTTTACACGTTTTTTTGCCAAACCGAAGGACCATTTAGTTTGATTTATTTTCTATTTAAGTTATTGTCTTTGTGAACATGAATTTTATTATTAAATATTTAATTTTTAATTATTTATATTAATTGGTTATGATTAGTTTGTAATTTTTTTATTATAATTATTTTTTAATTAATTGTCAAAGAAAATAAAACAAAAAAAATTTAATTGAAAGAATAAATAAAATGAAATGAATTTTGCATTTGAAAAGAAAAGTAAACAGTTTTTTGTGTTTTTATTATTATTTATAATTTATTTTTAACATTTCTTCAGTTTTTCTTAAATTTCAGTTTTTTTAATATTTGTTTATAATTTTTTTTCGCAATATTTTGACTTATAAGCTCTAATAGTTTCCCATATAAAGAAATGCTAGTCCGCAAATTTATTTGTATTTAATGCATATGAGAGAATCCAAGCATTCCCTTCCCCTATTTTCCCCAAACGTTTACATGGTTGTTAAAGTCCTTCGTCCAAAATTTGAAGATTCTAGCTCTACTATTTGCCGCGATAAACGAATTGTTGTATTTAATTCATATGGGAGGTGCCAAGTTCCCTATTGCTTGTCCGCCAATTTGTTACTCAAATATTCCCAGAAAATGTTTTTTCCCAGAAAATGATTTTTTTTTAATTCATATGGGAGGTGTACCGCCCCCTATTGCTATTCCGCCCATTTTTTGTTCTAAATATTCAAGTCGATACTAAATAGCTCCGAAAAAACTTGAGGACTCTTACTGTTATATTTTCTCAGATATACTAATTTTAGATTTTCTTATATGGGAGGCGACAGACTAAATTTGAGGTTTCTAGCTGTTGTAGTTTCTGAGATATATAGTTTTTAATTCTTCTAAAATTCTCTTTTTATGGAAAATAAAAAATTCTCTTGTTATAGAACACTAGCTATACCCAGTGTTCTTCGCTACCCTCATCGTAATTAAATAAAATAAATATTATTGTAAATTTTCAGTCAGTCCAATATATTTACATTTATGTATGTACATACATATATCTGCAATGTCAAAAAGTGCCCTTTTATAGATTTTCATACAGGTTCCTAGGTTCAATTTTTCTTAGATTTTCAATCAATAATGATTGATTCTAGTTTCAATATAACAGGAAACTCAAAAAATGGAAAATGAAAATGCAACAGAAAGTCTCTTCTTTAGATTTTAGTTGAATGAGGATGGTGTATGTTAAATTTTCAACCAGAAGTTCCTCTCATATAAATTTTTTTACACTCAGGAAGCTGCGTGTCCAATTTTATGTTTTTAGGTTCAATAATATAGAAAGTACGAAAACATACCAAAAGACATCTTCTATTTAATTTCATGTTTCTAAGTTTAATATTATCGAAAATTCAAAAAGTACCAGTTATAGAATGAAAAAGTACCAGAAAATACTCTATTTTAAATTTTCATTCACATAAGTCCCTGAATGCTTACTTTTGAGTTTCTATGTTCAATGTAATTGAAAACTCAAAAAGTACCAGTTGAAGAACTAAAAAGTACCAAAGGTACTTTTATAGGTTCTTATTTACTCCGAGCTCTAAATGCCAAATTTGATGTCTCTAGGTTCAATATTATAGAAAATTTATAAAGTATCTATTGAAGAACGAAAAAGTATCAAAAATTCCCTTTTTATATTTTATGAAAAAGTAGCAAAAACTAACCTTTTATAGAATATCATTAACTCTGAGCTCCACATGCTTAATATGTTTCGAGGATCATATATTATAAAAAACACAAAAAGTACCCGTTAAAAAACGAAAAAGTACCAAAAAATAGTCCTTTGTACCGGAGTTCCAAGTAACACCCCATTAATATATTAAGTGTTACTAAATCTATCAATTTCTCTAATTTTATTAAAATTGGTTCAGTGTGTTTGAATAAAATTATATTTCCCGTTTTTCCCCCTTTCGATAATTTTTCTCCCTATTGAAGTAATAAACTTTTATTACAAAAGTTGCAATATCGTAGTGGGAGCTCATTATTAAGTATTCATTCATATGTTAATACAAATCAATACATAGGAAACAACGTTTTATGTAAAAAGTACCAAAAAATAGGTACAATTTTCAGTCCTTAAACGTCCGAGTATCCAAAAAGTACTAAATTTGTATTTTTATTTTTTCTTTAGGTTATGAAGGTGTCAAAAATATTTTTTGTATGTTAATTTGTTCAAAAGATACATGGGATTCAAAAAAAGTACCAAAATACAGTTTTTACCAGTTTATTCCCCATAGGGGACGAATTTTAAAAAAGTAACAGACACCTATCCGCTTATATTTTAAATGAACGACAATAAACTGTTTTTCTATCTATTCTAGTTTAGGAGATATGAGGTTACCGAATTTACCCTTTTTTACCCGCTAAACATTCGAATTTCCAACCGTTTAGGCTGTGCGTTGATGAATCAGTCAGTGAGTCAATAACATTAGAATTTATATATATAGATTTTCGACAAAATTCGCTTTTTATATACAATTTTCGAGAAAATTTTGTTGTAGAACATTTTCTCTAAAATTCTCTTTTAATGGAAAATTTTCCAGAAAATTCTCTTTTTATGGAAAATTTTCGAGAAAATTCTCTTTTATAGAAAATTTTCGAGATTATAGACATTTTCGAGAAAATTCTCTTTTTATAGAAAATTTTCGAGAAAATTCTCTTTTTATAGAAAATTTTCGAGAAAATTCTCTTTTTATAGAAAATTTTCGAGAAAATTCTCTTTTTATAGAAAATTTCGAGAAAATTCTCTTTTTATAGAAAATTTTCGAGAAAATTCTCTTTTTATAGAAAATTTTCGAGAAAATTCTCTTTTTATAGAAAATTTTCGAGAAAATTCTCTTTTTATAGAAAATTTTCGAGAAAATTCTCTTTTTATAGAAAATTTTCGAGAAAATTCATCTTTTTATAGAAAATTTTCGAGAAAATTCTCTTTTTATAGAAAATTTTCGAGAAAATTCTCTTTTTATAGAAAATTTTCGAGAAAATTCTCTTTTTATAGAAAATTTTCGAGAAAATTCTCTTTTTATAGAAAATTTTCGAGAAAATTCTCTTTTTATAGAAAATTTTCGAGAAAATTCTCTTTTATAGAAAATTTTCGAGAAAATTCTCTTTTTATAGAAAATTTTCCGAGAAAATTCGCTTTTTATAGAAAATTTTCGAGAAAATTCTCTTTTTATAGAAAATTTTCGAGAAAATTCTCTTTTATAGAAAATTCTTGAGAAATTCTCTTTTATAGAAAATTCTTGAGAAAATTCTCTTTTTATAGAAAATTCTTGAGAAATTCTCTTTTTATAGAAAATTCTTGAGAAAATTCTCTTTTTATAGAAAATTCTTGAGAAATTCCTCTTTTTATAGAAAATTCTCGAGAAAATTCTCTTTTTATAGAAAATTCTCGAGAAAATTCTCTTTTTATAGAAAATTCCTCTTTTTATAGAAAATTCTCGAGAAAATTCTCTTTTTATAGAAAATTCTCTTTTTATAGAAAATTCTCGAGAAAATTCTCTTTTTATAGAAAATTCTCTTTTTATAGAAAATTCTCGAGAAAATTCTCTTTTTATAGAAAATTCCCTTTTTAAAGAAAATTTTCAAGAAAATTCTCTTTTTAAAGAAAATTTTCAAGAGAATTCTCTTTTTAAAGAAAATTTTCAAGAAAATCTCTTTTTAAAGAAAATTTTCAAGAAAATTCTCTTTTTAAAGAAAATTTTCAAGAAAATTCTCTTTTTATAGAAAATTTTCAAGAAAATCTCTTTTTAAAGAAAATTTTCAAGAAAATTCTCTTTTTATAGAAAATTTTCGAGAAAATTATCTTTTTATAGCAAATTTTCAAGAAAAATATCTTTTTAAAGAAAAATTTTCAAGAAAAATATCTTTTTAAAGAAAAATTTCGAGAAAATTATCTTTTTTATAGAAAATTTGCGAGAAAGTTATCTTTTTATACAAAATTTTCGAGAAAATTCTTTTCTTACAGAAATTCTTTCACATATAAGGTCTCCTTTAGAAAATGACTTGGGATAACACAAGTTTTCTATTTCATGAGGATCGCTCCATATTGTCTCTATCCTTTATCTATAAATCATTTGCAAGGTTTGTTATGTTTTAATTCACACTAGTTTAATAAATAAATTACATTTAAATTAAGTAATTTATTCGTTTTTCCGGCAATAAATAAATTATTCAATCTGAAAACAAAACAAATGTATAAATTTCATTAAATCTCTAATAAACTAACAAACCAAAACAAATTGTTTTAAAATTTTGCAACAGTCATACCAAAAACCCCCTAATATTATGCTGCACATTTTCTTTCAAATGACATTATCCAAATCACTACAATAACGCTCGACTTGGCAACTAAATTAAAAATTCATTGTACATAAAATATTCACACGCGCCTACTCCAAAAATAACTAATTCACATTTAATAACATTATTAAAACCAAAAAAAAAAAAAACAAACACAACAAATAATACATACAGGTAAAATAATATATATAAATTTTTTTGTTATATTTTGTTAATCTGATAATAAATTAAATGTTTAACCTGTCGTATTATTTGCCATAATAAATTTGAAATAAAATAAAGCAATTTAATATATAATTTAGTTTATGAACATTTAGTTTTTTGCCTTTGTATTATTTAAAGTTTTTTTTTCGTATTATAATTATTTATAATATTATTGAGACATGTGTGTTTAATAATTTCACATTAAAACGGCAAGGGGAACTACAATATATGAAAGAAAAGAAAAATCAAAAACTGTCTGTCACTCAACGCTCTATATAAATTTTAAAACAATATGTTAAAAAGGAGAATTTAAAGAATCACAAAAAAAAAAAAAATATTGAAATTCAAAACGCGATTTTTTTTTGTTTTAATAAAAAAAACTCACACACAAACTCATAAATTTCAACTTAACAACAAAATGCTGAAAAAAAAAATCACACATTTTTTTTTTTCGTTTCATATTGTTTTGTATACAAAAGGAAATTTTGATAAATGTGATGAATATAATTCGAAATAAATTGTGAACAAATGTAAATGTCTTAATTAAAGATGTTATTGTCCCAAAGAGAAAAAAAAAATATAAAGAAGTTATTGGTGAACAAATGACAATATAGACAACATTTTT